TACTAATTATGATTTTTTAGAGCCTAAATCTTAAAATTCTAAACCCTAAAAAATCTTTTGACCCCCAAAACCCTTTAAACCCTCAAAACTAAATCCTAATACAACACAGTTAACCCAAACATAAATGATATAATGAATAAATAATTTTTAAAAAGTGGCATTTTTGTAAAATGACACTTGAAAAGTGGCACTTGAAAAGTGACATTTTTAAAAAAAAAATTTTTTTTTTTGTAGTAGTAGTAAATCTATCTATGTATATTTGAAAATGTATTTAAATGAATATAAAACTATAAATTTCATTTATTGTGGTCAAATGGAGTTAAATTGAATAGACAGGGAGTTTAGTAACCGTAGCTTCTAGTTCTATGGAAAATAACTCATTAGAAGTAAATATACGCAAAGGTGTCAACAATCTATGAAAATATTTTGATTCTACTAGATGAGAAAACGATTTGTTGACAAGATCAAGATAACCAAAAGTTTATATAAACTTGTGTTTTCATAAAAAAAAAAACCCCATATCTAATTGTGTGTAGAAAGGTAATATTAGTGATGGAGAAATCAACTTTTGTTCTTGTGGTGATTTCGTTTGGTCTCCTCTTCGCTTGTCATGTCATTGAAGCCACGGAGAAGAACCTTGAAGATGAGACCAGTGGTTCGCTCTGGTCTAGACCATTGCTTAGGGCTGATCCACCATCACAAGGTCCACATAAGCCAGCTATGATCAGCTCCAAGCTGTTGTCACCATCACAACGCGTATTTTTCAGTATGTTACCAAAAAACGTTCCAATTCCACCATCGGCACCTAGCAGAGGAGAAACTCCTTGGGCACCACCTCACTTTGTTGTGTGATGAACATTTCTTGGATTCTTCTTATAACAAACTAAACAATCCATAATAATAGCCCTGCAATTTAATTATCTATTTATCTTAAGATTTGATATGTTGATATGATCGATAACTTGTAGAATTGTATGTAGTGGGATGATTCCACAGTTTCGTAAGTCTAATGGTAAAAAAAGTTAGCAAAAAAATCGATGGTACTAATGAATAATACAACAGTTCTTCATGTTTTAACTTCTGTTAATCTTTCATTTTCGATGATTGTGTTACATATTAAAAGGTACATGCATTGCAAACATTAAACATTTTGGCTTTGACTCGCAAACTTCTATCGTACTAGGTGTGTCGCTCGCTAACTAGCATTCACCATTTCGTAACACCAATCGAACTATTTGATTACGCAAGTGATACTTTCACAAGTTCTTTCCGAATTCTATCGGCGAAAAGGTTCTTTCAATTCGATGATTACTACTTGAAGATAAAAGTCCAAAATACAAACCCAACATTTCAAAACGTTCAACAACAAAACTCGAAACCTGAAGATTTTGTTTTCACCGATTCTTTGCGAAAAGCTTGTTAGTATCGAGCACATTAGCATCAAAATACTCTTTATACGGATGATTCTCAGGAACCAATCTTCGAAACTGCTCGAATTGCTTCTCCGCTTCATCTTTCTTCTTCATCAACGTATAAATCAAACCTTGACATAGATATGGCCTAAAATCTCTAGGTTCATCTTTCACTAACTCCTGATAAACCCTAATTGCTTCAACTGGATTCCCTTCTATAACCTTAATCTGAGCAATCAAAAGCATGAAATCTCTAAACTCTTTCCTCTTATCTTCCTTTTTGCATTTCTCTATAGCTACATTGATTCTAACTTCAAGCTCTGATAATTTCGATTCGGAATCAGAGTAAGCCATTACCAAACCGTGATAAGCTTCGACACGAAGTGGATCTTTGGTTAAAATCTCTTCGAATCCTTTAGCAGCTGAATCCAAATCGCCACCGTGGGATTGTACCTGAGCTTTTAAGATTCGCCATTCTTGTTCTTCCGGTTTGATTTCGATTAACAGGTTTAGAATCTCTAATGCTTGGTCGAATT